AGCCCGCTCTGCTTCGCAATTGCCGCGGCGTCTGCAACGCAACGCACGTTCCCGCACAGCGGTGCACCGTTCGCCCGCGACCCATGCGCATCCGTCGGCCTGCCGTGGAAAAAATTGAAACTCATCGTCTTGGTCTTCCGCGCGCTTGCGCCTCCAGCGCCCAGAAATTAATCCGTCCCCGACGGCGGTTCCAAATGATAGAAATCCCTCCAGAACAGCACATTCACGCCCCCAAACGGCTCGGGCACGCCGCCTCCACGTACATTTGCGTCACCTGCAGCTGACATGCAAGACCGCAAGTGCGAATCGAGCTCTGCGTCGTCACCACCATCACGGTCATCACCAGCATCATCATCAGAACGACAATCTTCATCATCGACATCGTCATCACCATCACGAACATAAGTGACACCGCTCACACACCAGGAACATCATGGTCATCACCATCAGCATGAGCGTCAGCATCACCATCGCTATTACAAGCGCCATCACTGACACCATCGGCATCATCCTGATCGTCATCCACATCACCACCCCGTCATACTCATATTTAGTGTCATCATCATCATCAAGAGCAGCGTCGTCCTCATGATCACCACCATCCCGATCACTATCACCATGACCATTGTCATTACCATTGCCGTGGCCATTGCCATTGCCATTGCCGCCACCGTCACCATCATCAAAAACAATCATCTCCATCCGAAGCAGAATAGTCATCATCAACAGCAGCAGCATTTTTCACTCGCCATCATCATCGCCATCGGCCAGCGCCACCGGTCGCGCCAGAGCGAGCGGACAGCGCGACGGCCGCCCAGGAACCCCGGCCACTCAAGCACCTATCGAGGTCCCCCACGGAAGCCAACCAATTGTATACACACCTCGACTTGCGCGCGTCATCCTGCGCGCCTGCGCGGCTTCAAGATGGCCCCAAAGCAGCCCGCGAACGCCCCGGGCGGAGCCCGAGAGGCCTCGACCCGGCCCCAAGAGCGTCCGCAGGGGGCCCAGGAGCGGCCCAAGAGCTCCCGATGAGGAGAGAGATAGAGAGAGAGAGAGAGAGAGAGAGAGAGAGAGAGAGAGAGAGAGAGAGAGAGGAGTGAGAGAAAAGAGGGGGAGGGGGCGGCCCATCGTGCACATGTTCGGAATTTGTGACAACGGTATATGACTGACCACAACTGCGAGATATGGGGGCAATGCTATCAACTGGACTGAGCGGAGCTACATGGCTTCTTCCTCCTCTGCTTGGCATCGCTGTCACTGCCGGCGCTGTCATGTTCATCCGCAGAGCGCCGCCTTAACAGCCATCCGTGTCATAACCGTTATTATTAACATCGGTATGGTTCCTGCATTCGTCGCGCCCGTCGTCTGGCATGTTCTTATCGTGGACGTGAGTCGGCAGATGACCTGCTTCCGCGCTGTAAGATTATTACACGTGTGATGACGGTGACCCATGTCGTCTTTCAAGCGCATTTCGATTAGGTGGCTCAAGCCGCGGCCCCCAGGTTGCCACGAATGCACGATGGCGAAATATGGCTGAAACACAGATGCGCAAGCGCCAGCGCAGCCAAGTGGCGACAAAAGGCGCGAGCTAGAGCTCCCGACCACAAGAAGAACGAAGCAGCCAGGCAACCCTAGAGAGTCTCGAAATGCACGGGTCGGTGCTTCCTGCGTTCACGCGGACGCCCGCCCCTCGTTTCTAAACGCCCATGCTTCTGTCGCTCGTTCGATGCCACGCCTTACTCTGATCCCAAATGTCCCGTCCTTCACCTGTCCGCCATGCAGAGGCATAATTTTGGGCTATCAGCGACGGCGTCGCGAGCAGCGAGGCCAGCGCGCAACCAAGTTGGGCGCCAATTGCAACGTTTGCTGCTGGCGGGCCTGGGGCGTGCAACACCGTTGGTTCCAAACTTCCAACGCGTGCAATCCGACCACGCTGCGCGTGCGTTCTTTGGCATGCGTCCCTTGCGCGTGGCAGCGCGCATTGGCGAGGCAACCTCTTTGGCGCGGCAGCGCGCTGGCGACCTCGTCGCGAGGCGGACTGCGTGGAACCAATCGAAAAAGAACAACACTGATAGTGCAACTGCGCATGCATACTTCGGCGTGACTACAGGCTTCTCGCCTGTGGGTCCTCTGCCACTCGCACTCGTCTACGATTGGCTCCTGCGCACGTTCTTGGCACCTGCTTAAGGCGGCGTTTTCTGGAAGCCCCGCTCGCCTGTGACAACGCCTGCGTTGCTGTATCCACCGCCCGCGTGGCCGGGCACTTCCCAAAAGAATCGCACGCGGCTTCAAGGCTATCCATGCCCCCCCCCCCCCCCCCCAACCCCATGTTACACTTACCCATGCGCTTCTAGAACCAAGAGTTGCCCTTCCACTTGTCCAGCCAGCGCGCAATCGCAAAGCGAGTGCTATCAGCAAACATTTGGCGAGAGGAATCGCCCCCGCCAGTGCCGCGCAGCGTGCGTAACTCTTGCGCGATGACGGATGCGGCATCGCCATGGTGAGAAGCGGCAAGAGCATCCACCCACTCCTGGCCATGTGCGAAACGCCGACATTCTCCGATGCTCGACGCACGCTGTGCGAACAAGTCAAAAGGCGTGTTTGCAGACATCCGCGCGCCGCATCATGCTGGCATGCGGAGCGTATGAGGCCGGCCGACCCCCTCAACCCTGCGATGCCACATCGCTTTAACAGGGATAGCCGACGTGTATACCGAACATCGCCCCTGCGAAATAAAACCCGACAGCCTCTCACTTTGCCCGAAACACAAATTTATCCCAGGCCAAAAGGCCGTCCCTCAAGAACGATTTCCCTTACCAACCTCTGTGGGCGAACCGAATAACTGCCTGTGCGCGCATATCGGCCACGCCCTTGTTACTCCCCAGACGCTATCCCCGACCGCTGCCTCAATGTCACGACACTGGGGACGATTGCGGGATTCGTTCCGTCGAAGACTGGAAACGAAACCGGTCAACACGCGCCCGTCGCATTCGGACAAAACCTTCGTGAAGACTTCCCGCGGCATTGCGGTCAGCAATGCTTCGGCGGCTGCTCGACGACCTGCTCGATTAACTGCATCGGGGAGCCGTTGCCGCAACAAGATTCGGAAGCCGACGAGACCAAAAAATGGGGCTAAATTCGCGGAGGCCATTGCACCGCACTTCGTGCCGCATGTCTGGTTATACCGCCGTTTCACCACCTGCAGGTCCCTTGTGTCCAAGCCTTCTGTGCTGGAGTCGATGCAGCGCCGCCAGCCTTGAGCCAAACGGCCACCATTGCAACGGCGTCAACTTGCGTGCGGTCGCGTTATTGCAGGGCCCCGCATGGGGCCCACTCACACCTGCCGCTTTCAACCTGAACCATCACCCATGTGACAGACGATCTGGAAGCATTGTGGTGGACTCTGCGTGGTGCAAAGCAACGGGAGATACGAACACAACAATAGCCTGCGAGCACCTCGGCGTGCAAAAAGAAAAACCGCTTGCAAGAACAACAATGCCTTGCGAGGAAAAACAAAGGGCGAAAACCAACTTCCATTGCAAGCGGGCGCTTGGATATCCGTAGCAGATCGAAAAACCCAGCGCGCGTGCGCAGGAGCAAATCGAACCCCGCAGGTGCAACAATGAATTGCGGACACGACTATCAGCGACCGCGTGCGTTTCACCCCCGGCATCGATGGAAAAAACGAAGTTTAGATGTTCTGTCTGGGTCGCCATCATGGGACCAGTCTGCCTCAAAGGCGCTGCGAGCGCTGCAATTCGTTGTTGGGCGACAACCGGCGGACGCCAAGACCTCCAAAATGAGCTCCGGACGCAGAAAACCGGAAGCCTAGAACTCTCTGAACGCACCAGATGCGGAATCTAAAAATACAAGTGGTCGGCGGATGTGGCGTAAGTCTATAGAACCGCACAACTATCGGTCCAAAACGCCATCACGCCCTCCAGACTGCACAGGAGGCCGCCAAGACGCCCCAGGAAGCCTCCAAAAGCACTCCCGAGAAGGGCTCCACGAGGCAAAATTCAATGATCGCCCTTCGGCTTCAAGTTTAAAGGATTTTGGCGTTCTCGCCTTTTCTGCTCCCCGCGGCTCCAAGACGGCCCAAGAGGCCCCCAAGATCGCCCCAAGACAGCCCACGAGGCCTCCAAGAGGGCCCCAAAACAGCCCAAGAGGACCCCAAGACACCCCACGACGCCTCCAAGACGGCCCAACAGGCCTCCAAGACAGCTCCAAGAGGGTGCCCAGACAGGGGGCCCGAACGGACACTTCCAGCCCTCGGCACCGACAGGTTCCCAGGAGGCCCCAAGACGCTCCCAAGAGGCCCCAAGAGGCCCACAAGATGTCCCTAAAGAGGCTCCCAAAAGGCCCCAGAATTCATCCCCTGAGGCCCCCCAGAGCCTTCCGAAAAGACCCCAAGCTGCATCCCTCTGGCCCGCGTCAGCGTCGTCGTCGTCGCCACCGCCGCCGCCGCCGCCGTCGTCGTCGTCCCCTCAAGGGTCGGTGGCACCAGCCGCAAGGCCTTCGCAAGAAGGAACGAAGCCTTTGTTGGCCCCAAAAGCTCTTAGGTGCAGGAGGAGCGCTAGAAGAACAAGAAGCAACCATGGAAGGACCCAAGGAATGAGACCCTTCCGAACTCAAAGTGTTCCACATTTCGACCTCTTGACAGTACAGCATATTCACGTCGCGATGACGTCGTCGTTGGAGTCATGATCTCACGTGGGTCAGTCAACTTTGAACGATCGGCGCTTTCCGCTAGCGCAGATCGCTCAGTATCGGCAAACTCTGGGTTACTGGCGGCGTTCAACCTTGGAACGTCCGTGCAGGGGTCGCCGCCGCGTCAACTCGGCGCGACCCCATCGAACACTAAAACACTCCATCTGTGCGCCCACCTGTGCACAGAACGTTGGCAAGAGCAGACCATGATCAGGCATGTGCAACGCCTCGCACAAAATGTCAGCGGCGAGAGACGGAAAAGTCAGCAGCAAGGACACCCCCGGTCAGACCAGTCTGAGGCCCATCATCTCCTTTGGGAGCTCCCAGTTCGTGCCGTGCAGCTTCGTGGGCATGGCCTTCATCCTTTTCTGGTGTGCCTTCTCCTCCTGAGGGGTGCCCGCGCAAACACAAGGTCACGAAAGATGGTATGGCCGTGCGGACATGTGCCCCCGTCTCCACTGCACCCGCGAAAGATCACGTCGTAAATCCACATCCCCCCTGTCCCTCTCTTGTATTCCGCCCTTCCTCCTCCTCCTCCTTCCTGTCCTCCTCCGTTTCCTCCTCCATGTCCCTCACTTCGCCTTACCCGTCCACTTTCGTGCTCCTCAGTCCACGCCCACAGGGGCAAACACCAGTCTGAGACCTCGACTTCGTGATGACTTCACGGCATGGACCCCGAAGTCTCGACCCTTTTCCCGGGATCGTGAACTGGAAAGCGCCCCGAGAGGCCGAAAGTAGCGACCACAACTTCAGCCGATATTTCCTCAATGCGATGGGGGGCCTGGAGACTCAGAAATATCTAAAGGCAATCTGCAAATGCGGCACTGGCCGAGTGAGCTCTTCCGACAGCCACCGCGGGGCGACACCACGGCGCATTCACCGAGGCCGACTTGCAACAGGCCAGGGAGGAGGGAGGAGGGAGGAGGGGTGTTGCTCTTGCCCAGCAGACCGTGAATGAGGGAGGGAGGAGGGACACAGACCCCATGCCGTCGTGGAACAATCATGACGGAAGGGTCGTGCTGTGTAAGGCCTCTAGGGGCCCTCACTGGGCCCTGGGACCTCGAAAACACAAGACTCGGGATGAACATCAGTTCCCGGGAAGGGGTGCAGACCTCTGGGGGTCCACGACGGAAAGAAAATCATGGCGTCGGGGGTCTGAGACGGGAGACGGGCGAGGTAGGAGGACGCCGACCGCACACCTGCTCCGATCCTGACCTGGCGCATGCTGGGCCCAGGATCGGAGCCCACTCCCTCCTAACTTGGCCAGGACGGCATGCAACCAAAGTCGTGCCGTCAGGATCTGGGGACAAGGAGCGAAGCCCGTTTGGGGGCCTCTGCTGCACCCAGGTGCACGAGTGACGCCAGGTGAAAGCCCGTGGAAGGATCCAAAGAACATCGAGCCCCTCTCGAAACCAGTGCACCTCATCCCATAAATATATATACACATAATTATAATTATATATACAGAGTGGGTGAGATCAGCGATTTAAACCTCGCACAGACGATACGACGATAAGACGATAAGGCGACATAGGACGATAAGACGATAAAGCGCTAAGACGATGACGGTCCAGCAGACGATAAGACGCTAAGACGATAATACGATATAGGGCCACACCAGACGATAAGACGACAAGACAATAAGACGATATAGGGCCACACCAGACGATAAGACGATAAGACGACGAAGCAATATTGTCGTCTTGTCGTCTTATCGTCTCGTCGTCTGATGATGATGACGACGATGACCACGATGACGATGATGATGACGATGATGATGACGACGATGACCACGATGACGTTAGGAGGATGTCGCAGGCGAAAGCGGCCGGACGACTATAGGGCAGGGCACCTCCGAGGTCAGCGTTGCGACGATGTCTCAAGCGAAAGTGGCCTGACCATCTCAGCCCAGGGCGTGTCGGAACCCAGGGTTGCGAGGACGTCACGGGCGAAAATGGCCGGACAACCAGGGGGCCAGGGCATCTCGGAATCCAGAGTTGCGAGGATGTTTCAGGCGAAGGTGGCCAGATCACCGCAAATCAAAACATCTGGGATCCCAGAGTGCCGAGGATGTCCCACGCGAAGCGGGCCAGAACTCTTCGAGGAATGTATCTTGGACCCCGGAGTAGTGAGGATGTCCCAGGCGAGACTGCCCAGATCATCAGAAGTTGTGGCATATCGGAGCCCAAGGTCCCGAGGATGTCTCACGCGAAACGGATCTCCTCCTCCTCCTCCTCCTCCTCCTCCTCCAATCCAGAAACGGTTTTTGGAGGGAGGGGGGATACAGTTTCCCAGCTCGGTTTTTGGAAGGGGCCCCCAAGGCGAGCTCCCAAGTGAGGCGCCTTGATGGGCGGAGGCCAAGGTGGGGCGCTCGGGCTCCAGAAAGGGGAGCGCCCTGAGGGAAGCCAATCGGGGCCCCGTGGAATGGCATAGCACACCATAGCTATGGCCCGTGGGTGATAACTATAGCTTAAGGTGGGAAAACGATAAGACGGTAATACAATAAGTCGTATCGTCTTATCGTCTGGTCGTCATTTGGCTAGGTGTGTGGGTGTGTAAGAGATGCCCAAGAGGCCCCGAGGGGCTCCCCGAGGCACCCAAGAGGACCCTGGGACCGCCAAGAAGCCCAAGGATCGTAGAGATCGAACGACAATTAACCTAAACACCGTTTCCAGAAACTGTTTTTGGAGGGAGGGGGGATGCAGTTTCCCAGTTCGGTTTTTGGAAGGGGCCCCCAAGGCGAGCTCCCAAGTGAGGCGCCTTGATGGGCGGAAGCCAAGGTGGGGCGCTCGGGCTCCAGACACCATAGCTATGGCCCATGGGTGATAACTATAGCGTAAGGTTGGAAAACGATAAGACGGCAATACAATAAGTTGTATCGTCTTATCGTCTGGTCGTCATTTGGCTAGGTGTGTGGGTGTGTAAGAGATGCCCACGAGGCCCCGAGGGGCTCCCCAAGGCACCCAAGAGGACCCTGGGACCGCCAAGAAGCCCAAGGATCGTAGAAATCGAGCGACAATTAACCTAAACACCGTTTCCAAGAACGGTTTTTGGAATGAGGGGGGGATGCAGTTTCCCAGTTCGGTTTTTGGGAGGGGGCTCCAAGGCGAGCTCCCAAGTGAGGCGCCTTGATGGGCGGAGGCCAAGGTGGGGCGCTCGGGCTCCAGAAACGGGAGAGCCCTGAGGGGAGCCAATCGGGGCCCCGTGGAATGGCATAGCACGACATAGCTATGGCCCATGGGTGATAATTAAAGGTTTGAGTGATAAGACGACAAGACGATAATACGATAACTCTTATCGGTTCATTATCTTATCGTCTGGCGGGACCATATATCGCCTTACCGTCTTATCGTCTTATCGTATGAGGCATGTCTTGGCCATATTAGTGGTCTCCTGGTGCAATTCGGATGTGGAAATTGCGACTTCGCCTACTCCTGGATCCGATTAACCTCCCAAACTTCCGAAAAAGAGCCCTGGACACCAATGGACTAAATTGGGCACTCAGGGGATTACCATATTTCTCCTTGCATGCCGGCAGACGGGCAAGGGAGAAGTGGCACAAGTGCCAATGACCTTCGCAAACTTATTAAGTTGAAACACGTGTTGCCCCTCGGAACCCTCTTGGGTTGCCACTTGGAACGCTCCTGTAGTGTCTCGAAGGCGTCGTGGGCCGTCTGGCAGCGCTTCTGGGGGCTTCCTGGGAGGCCTCTTGGAGGCCTGTTTGGCCTCATGGGGGTCCCAGTGCGCGGAGATGTCTAAATCTTAGTTCAGGCTCACCCTCTGAAGCCGATCTTGGGGGGCTCCTGAAGTGTCCTCGGACCGTCTTGGAGGTCTCTTGGGCCGTTTTGGGGGCCCCTTGGGCCATCTGGGCACCCACTTGGGAGCCTCTCAGGCCGTCTCGGGGCGTTTCTCAGAGCCTCTGAGGTAGTATTGGATCGCTGGGTAGCAGAAAGTGTACACTAAAAGATAGACAATCAATGATTGTTGTCTCTTGAGGGCATCTTGGGGGGCCTCTTGGAACCCTTTTGGAACATCTTGAATGCGTTTTGGGCCGTCTGGAAGCTCTTGCGGAGCGTCTTGGGGGCATTTTGGGGCCACCTCGAGGCCATCAAGGGCGCCGGGGAGCATTTGTTCGGCAACACGGGGCCCCCAGGGGCCGTCTGGGGCGTAGGCGTCAATCGCCCGAACCTCGATTCGCCCAACTCGATTCGCCCGGCTCGATTCGTCGGAGTCTCGATTCGCCCGGCTCGATTCGACCGACTCGATTCGCCTGGCTCGATTCGCTGGAGTCTCGATTCGCATGGCTTGATTCGCCTGGCTGGATTCGACCGAGGCTCGATTCACCCCGCTTGACTCGCCCAACTCGATTCGTCCAAGCTCGAATCGCCACGCTCGCTTCGCCCGAGTCTCGGTGCGCCCGGCTCTATTCGCCTGGGCTCGATTCGCCCAGCTCGATTCGCCCGGGGCTCCATTCGCCCGAATCTCGATTCGCTCGGGGCTCCGGCTCGATTCGCCTGGGGCTCGAATCGCCCGGCTCGATTCGCCCGAGTCTCGGTTCGCCCAAGTGTTGATTCGCCCAGCTCCGCCCGCCCGACCCGACCCGCCCGCTAGGGTCCGCCCGCCCGACCCGACCCGCCCGTTAGGGTCCGCCCACCCGACCCGACCCGCCCGTTGGGGTTCGCGTGTGCTGCCTCGGTGATGCGTCCTACTTGAATGTCCCGAACGCCCGACCCGACCCGCCCGTTAGGGTCCGCACGGCGGTACCACGTGAAACACAGAAACGCGAGGCGGAGCACGATTAAAGCACCCGATAGAGGGGGGGGGGTCAGGCTCCAAAGCGGGGCCCAGCTTAGGCTCTGCCCCCCCCCTCCGCCCCATCTCAGAGGGCCAGGAACGTTTCTTTCGCATGTCGCGACGGCGGCCCTGGCGACACGCTACGGCCCACGCGAGTGGATAGCGTGTCGCTGCGATCCGCGGGGCGGGTTGCTTCGGAAAGCTGGGGACGCTGACGCGCGGGAACTGGGACGTGGATAGCACAGACATGCGACGTCCTGATTTCGTCAATACGCGGCCCCCGAAGTTCCGACCCTTTCCCCAGGGACGGCTCTTCATCCTGAGACGTTCCTTGACGGAAGAGGAGGAAGAGGAGGAGGAGGAGGAGGAGGAGGAAAAGGAGGAGGAGGAGGAAAAAGAGGAAAAGGAGGAGCAGGAGGAGGTGGGAGAGGAGGAGGAGGAGGAGGAAGATGAGGAGGAGCAGGAGGGGGAGGAGGGGAGCAGGAGGAGGAGGAGGAAGGGGAGGAAGAGGGGGATTGGCCCGTCGAGGGAGCGTGGTCGTGGCGGCACGACACGCCGCGATTCGAGGACCGACCAAGTCATGTGGCTGGGGGGGGCCCGCCTGTCTCTGCGGGCCTGGAGGGGCCTGATGGTAGCTTCTCGGTCGCCATTTTGTGACCGTTGTGGGTCCTCCTCGGGGCTGTTTTGTGGCCTATTGAGGCCTTGTTTGGGTCTCCTGGGTGCCTCTCGGGGGCCTCCTGGGGCCTCTGGGGGGCTCCTCGGGGCCTCCTGGGGCACTCCTCAAGCAGGAGGGTCAAATTTTGGAGTCGTGGTCCCCCTCTTGTCGGGCGCCTCTGGGGCCGTCTGGGGGCCCTCTTGGGCAGTCTTGGGGCGCTCTTGGGGGCCTATGGGGCGGGCTTGGAACGTCGGACAGCCGAAAAGGCTGGAAGGCCAAAATCTCTCCAAAACCTTCGGCGAATTGACGAGTTCGGTCTCTTGAAGCGCTCTGGAGAGACGTCTTGAAGCGTCGTGGAATGCCTTGGGGGGGCTTCTCGGGCCGTCTTGGGCCTATCTTGGGCGTCCAAGAGCCGTCTTTCGGCGACTCGGGTCGGGGCCCGCTTGGGCCGTCTGGGGAGCCTCTGGAGGCCCTCCTGGACTATTTTGGACCTCCCCGGCCGCCCCGTCCTGCCATGGGGGGTCGGGGCAGCTGTTCGTGGGCCGTCCTGAAGCTCTCTGGGGCTGTATTGGGGACGCGCCCCACGTCCTGGGCTGGACCGACAGCGAAAACAAGCAATATGTTAAACATATACGTCTGATGAAGGGAATGGGGCTATTTTGGCCCCTTGGGGCTCTCTTTGGGGCCCTATTGGTGGTCGCTTGGGGTGTCTTGGGGGCTTCTGAAGCCGACTTGGAGGCCATGTTGGGCGTCTGGGAGCGACCTTCGGGCGTCCCGGATCTGTTCTGGAGCCTCTTGGGGCCTCCTTGGCGCCTTCTGGCGGCCTTCTGTGAGGCCCCGGGGCTCCCCGAGGGCCCCGCGCCCACATTTGCGGTAGCGGCGCCGGCCCCGGGCGCCCGGACCCTGTGCGCCGTTACATGTATACATGCATACATGCATGCATACATACGTACACACATACATCCATACATTGGCGGCGTACACGAGTGAGTGGCGCGAGGGAGGCGGCCTCCTAAGAAGCCTCCTCAGGCCCCGCCCAGTTTCTGAAGCCGCCCTGTGCGGAGCATCCCGGGGGCCCCTTTGAGAAGGGGCCACGCCTCCCGAGCAGCCCCCCCCCGCCTCCTTCGAGAGGGCCGCCTCCCCCGTGCCAGGCCCCTCAGGGCACGGGCTCTGCCTGGCCGGGGTCGGCCCGGCTGCACGAGGAGCGACCCTCAGCAGGAGTGGCCGCCGGTGCGCGGCTCTCGGGGGCCGCGGAGCGGGCAGCGCTGGCGAGACCCGCGCGGGGCCTGCACGGAGAGGTCCCTCTGGCGAGTGGTCCCTCTCAAGCAGCAGCAGGGAACAGCGGACCACCACAAGCGCGAGGATCTGGGATGGGTCCTCCTGCTGGTATGGTCCCCCCCTCAGCGGACCACCACAAGCGCGAGGAGCCAGGGTGGGTCCTCCTGCTGGTATGGTCCCCCCCTCCCCGCTCGACAGATCCCCCATCCCCAGCTCGGGAAGGCATAGTGGATCTCCTCGCTGGAAGTGGCACCCCCGGCGGCTGTGTTGCGGACCTCCGAAGGATCAATGAAATCCGCGTGGACCTCCGAAAGTGCACATGTAGTGTGCTTTCACTCGAATCTGGGCCTCCTGGAGAAACCCAGGGTCAGGCAGCCTCAACTCGGGCGTTGACAGAACTGGGTTTAGTGGGACCTGGTTTTGTGATGTGTACCGGGGGACACCCCCCCTGCCCCGTTCCACTAACTGGAACTGCCGTCACCCAAAAAAAATCAGCTACGGCAGACCTGGTTTAATGATTCTGGCCAATTCAGGGGCTTCGGGGCCCTACTACTAACCGGGTCCCCTTACATGGGGTGCTGGATATACCCGATCAACACGCGAACTCGGAACGGATCGAAGCATGCGTCGGATCGGGCTGGGTCGGCACGGAGGCGAGCTCGAATCGCATCGTCTGCGCCACGATGTACAGCTGCGCCTTGAAAGCACCGGGCCGCAACTGCTGCGAACGCATGCGTATGCAGGCACGTGCCTGTTGCGCGTTCCGTAGCCGCCAGGGGCTCGAATCTGAAGCCTCTTGGTATAATCCTATCACCCTGCATGAACGAAAAAAACGGATGGCCCACACCCGCCCCCCATACCTTTTTCGACGGTCCTCCCCGGCCCTGGGGCACCTTTCGAACGGACTTCCAAGCTTTTCCAACAAGCCGCCCGCGCGCCGAACGATCGGCTGAAACGCTTGTCATGGCTTCCCGACGGCCCAAGACGCCCGAAGACAGCTCGCAAACGGTCCCAAACGGGCCCATAAGACTCCCAAGAGCGCCGCGGCATTCAAAAATCAACGTGCTTTCTGAAGGTTTTTGACAGATGTTGACGTTCTCGTCATTCGGGACATCCTGCATCCCACGACGGCCCAAGAGGCTTCCGAGATCCCCCCCCCAAGACGGCCAAAGAGGCTTCCAAGACAGCGCCGAACAGAGCCCCGAGGCGCCCAAGTTGGCTCCAAGACGGCGTGCAGCGCGCCCCACGGACGCCCAAGGGAGCGCCCACGATAGCCCCACGGGGCACCCGATGGCCCAAGAGGCCCCCAAGAGAGTCCCAAGACGGCCCAAGAGGGCTCCGAGACGGCCCAAGAGAGCCCAAAGACGGCCAAGAGGGGCCCCAGAGGGTCCCACAGGGGCCCCAAGGGAGCTCCAAGAGGGCCATAGGAGGCCCCCTGGACGGCCGAAGAGGGCCCCCAGAGGGCTTCAAGACGGCCCCAGCCCCCAGGACGGCCCAAAAGGGCCCCAGGACAGCCAGCCCAAGAGGGCCCACAGCTAGCCCAAAAGAGCCCCAAAAGGACCCCCAAGAAAACCCAAGAGGCCCCCAGAATTTCCAGAATGCGTCCAAAACACTCCCAGGAAGCTTCCCAAGACTCAAAGGGGTCCCCGATTCACGATTCATCTCAGGGCTTCAAGATGCCCCACAAACAAACGCCGCCAGGCCCCGAGAAACATTACAAACGCCTGGACTCACGATCCATGTCAGGGATGTGCCAGCATGGCCGAGGCGGCGGGATGCGAAATGTGGCTCTGGGGCCGTCCGTGCAACTTCCTGTGGGGTACGTACGATCCGTGTGAGGAGACAATCGATATAACGCGGGGGGACGTGACATTACGCGAATCCTCGGACCATGGCCGAACGTGAACTACATCCCTCTGGGACACGATCCGTGTGATGGGTGTGCCGAGACGGGCGGAACGACGCCGTACAAACTTTGACACTGGACCCGCAAGTGGAGCTCCCGGGGGGACGATATGTGAACCCTGCCTTCCTACGAGGCCGTAGGATCAGCGCTTGCACTTTTTCTTAGCTTTCCCACAGCCGCTTCTGCTCCTCCCCTCCTTCCCCTCCTCCTCCTCCTCTTCCTCCTCTTCCTCCTCTTCCATATTCTCCTCCTCCTCCTCCTTCACCTCCTCCCCTTCCTCCTCCTCCTCCTTCACCTCGTCCCCTTCCTCCTCCTCCTCCTCCTCCTCCTCCTCCTCCTCCTCCTGTTTCTCCTCCTTCACCTCCTCATTTGCTTCGCTCGCGCGGTTTGCAGTACTTCGGCAGTGGTGCTCTCGCCCATTCGTGGCCGCATCCTGATCCAAGATTGACGCAGCCACCCCAGCACTGACCACACTCGCCAATACGAGCGGCACTGTCGCCTCAGAGCCGGCCACAGCCCTCATATTGCAGATGATGCTGCCGGTCGCGCACAAGCCCCATTCATGGATGGGATTGGCGCTCTCGCCCGAGCGGTGGCCACACCCCTGTCTGGGAATCATGCTGACGTCTGCGCGCTGGCCAAATCCTTCATGGAACGCGGCACCCATTTCGCAGCGCCAGCCACGCCCCTCGTTGACTATTGTGATGCCGCTCCACTCGCACGGTTCCCACAGCCCTCATGGGAGAATGATGCCCCGCCTGAACGCCAGCCACATCCATTTCCAAGATTTGTGCTACCACCCCAGCGCCAGCCACACCTGTGTGTGAGACTGGTACTCTCGTTTGAGCCTCGGCTACATCCGTCTTTTGCAAGCGCCACCTCTGGCACGAGACAACTGGCGACCGCAGCTGCCGTCCCTTCGTGCTGGGCGAGTGCCGAACCTGGCCTTCGGTTTGGACGGAACGCTTCGGGTCTGTCGCCAATCGGGGCTGCGCCAGGCTAGCCCCCGCAACGTCAGGTTCGGGAAGGGCTCGTAGCAACACTGCGGCTACATCAATATGCGAACCGCAGAGTCAATAAGACATGTAGGTGCAAAGATCAATATTAGAAGGCGACGCGCAGCGAGCCTTAACATCTTGTGTTCTTGAGCCAGACACAATGAACAACAACTGCGCAGTCACAACTGGAGAGACCTTTGGTTTCGTCGTGCGCCCGACCACCACCCAGCCGGCTCCTTCGTCAGGGTCTTGTCCTTCTTCTCCTTCTTCTCGCGCCTCCGGTCGTCTTCGAACCAAATCTCGTCGTTCTGGGCGTCCGCCAACCCAGCCCCCTCGGGGGCCAGGCAGTGGGCTGATGGAGCCAGAAGTTGTTGTCCTGATATCCGACGTGGTGAATCCGCCGGCCCCCTTGTGGGGCCACCAGGCTGTAGGCGCGAGGTTCGCAGTTTCCTGTACCAGTTGTAGCTTGTAGTTTCCAGTGTTACAGTTCTGCTTCTTGCTGGTTACTGTAACTAGTTGACTTATTGCTGGTTACTGTAACTAGTTGATTGACCGCGCGAGGGGGGGGAGGCCCAAACGGGAAATTTAGCACCCCCTGGGCGCGTTGTCTAAATTGCTGGGGGGGCTCGAAATCGACACCCCTCATGCAGATCCGCGGGGTCAGGGTCCAAAAACATAGGGGATTTGCCACATTTCTGAAATTCGGCGCCACCCCTCACGCAGATCCGCGGGGTCAGGGTCCAAAAACGAAAGGGATTTGCCACATTTCTGAAATTCGGTGCCACCCCTCATGCAGATCCGCGGGGTCAGGGTCCAAAAACAAAAGGGATTTGCCACATTTCTGAAATTCGGTGCCACCCCTCACGCAGATCCGCGGGGTCAGGGTCCAAAAACACATGGGATTTGCCACATTTCTGAAATTCGGTGCCACCCCTCACGCAGATCCGCGGGGTCAGGGTCCAAAAACACATGGGATTTGCCACATTTCTGAAATTCGGTGCCACCCCTCACGCAGATCCGCGGGGTCAGGGTCCAAAAACACACGGGATTTGCCACATTTCTGAAATTCGGTGCCACCCCTCACGCAGATCCGCGAGGTCAGGGTCCAAAAACAAAAGGGATTTGCCACATTTCTGAAATTCGGTGCCACCCCTCACGCAGATCCGCGGGGTCAGGGTCCAAAAACACAGGGGATTTGCCACATTTCTGAAATTCGGCGCCACCCCTTACGCAGATCCGCGGGGTCAGGGTCCAAAAACACAGGGGATTTGGCACATTTCTGAAATTCGGTGCCACCCTTCACGCACATCCATCGCAAGGCGTGGTAACCCAAACTGCGAGAACTCCCTCGGCCCTTTAATCGCAAGGTGTGGTAACCAAGCCCGTAAACCATACACGTCTTACCAATCGCCAGGTGTGGTAACCCCTCTTGTGATCAGTTGGTTTTGCTGATTGCGAATCGGCTTCGCATGAAGTTTCGATACTGCTTCGCGACAGCGCCAAGGCCTCATGACTTAGCTCTTCCATGGCCCATTCTCCGAGAGAGGGGGCCGGCGGCAGGGGGCGAAGCCCTTACGGATTTCTCAGTTCCGTTTCTTCATTATATGCTGGCATCTAGGAGAACGTTTCGGGCTCCGAGGGCCACCAAGATGGATCCGAGATAGAGAAGAGTCCCCGTCGAGGGTGCTGGGACATTTGAAACCGCAAATTGAAGAAAAAGTGGTTTACCTTGAATTCCGCCGTCAGGAACGCCTGCCCCAGAGCGGCTGGAAAATTCACATCCATATAGTAGCACGCCAGGGCGTCCCCGACGGCAGAAAATGAATGTTCTACCGTCATTCGTCCGCTACGGTGAAGCCCTAACGACTTCTGCTGACCTTCGACTCTGGTTGGATCTTCCACGGTCGACACAGAGTTCCTAAGAGACGTCCGATCGATCCTCGATCGATCGACGATCGACGATCAAGGCCCCTCTCGAAGATCGATCCTCGATGAAGTCTCGATGGAGGATCGATCGATCCCCAATCCCCACGATCCAGGATGCCCGATCGATCCCCTCCAGGGAGGGGTCGCGGCCGGCGGGGCGGCGTGGGGCCTCCGACGGATTCTGGCCGTACCACTGCTGCTGGCCCTGCTGCTGCCGCCACGGGGCCCCGCCCATGGTCGCGTCGC